TCTTTTCCTCCCAGATTTGTCTGGCCATTTCTGACCCTTTTCCCTGGGTCCCGGCCAGAAGGTGCTTTAGGCTTGTGGTGGGCTTTCAGGCCTTGCTTTGGGCCAATCCCTTTTGAGTTGACTTTTGCCCACGAGAGGATGGGTAACTTCAGGTGCTTGATTTAGAAGTTATATTCTTTGTGTTCTGTATTGTATATTCACTGTATTAAAGTCCCTTTTTATTAAAGCTTTATATATGTTTTGTCTCCTTGCGGTGGATGGCAGAACCCACTTAGAGCAGGCAGGATTTTGGGGCTTCAGGGGTGTCCCTCTCCCCCTGTTCTGGAACAGACTTGGGGTGCCTTATAACAGATTGACCTACATACTTTCATTTAAAAAAAAAATTATAGGGCTTCCTTGGTGGCAACGGGGTTAACTCTCAGTGCTACCAAGCCACTCCACTCTGTCAGATATCTAACTCACATGGCACTGCACACCTCCTATGTCTTGCCCGCTGCTCCCCTCAGCAGTGTATTTCAACATACTCATCTGATCTGCTCCCTTGGTTGTGTCTGGTGAATCCTCTCCTACCCCTGTACCTCTGGCCTGTATCCCAGCTCTTGTATGCATAAATAAATAAAAAATAAATCTTAAAAAATTCTAAATTGAAACTGCCCCTGGGACCTCTCCTGCTGAACTGTTAGCTCAAACAAGCTACTTAGAGAGCCAAGAGTGATTCATCCTTGCAATCCAGAACAGAAAACAGGGAGTGCCTTGGGCAAAGTAAAGGTTCTTTGAATGAATGACAAAATCCTAAAGCATTTACATACTTGATTAGAAGTTAACTTTTGGCTAAGCAATCTGGAGAAGAAAATGAGTTGCTCAAGGCAATTCACCTTTGAAGAGCTTTAATCTATTTTACAAATAATAAAGGTGTAACAGGGTGGTCCCCAAAGAAAGGAAAGGTTCCAGGTTCCCTGCCCCACCCAAGGAGGGTGGAACTGAGCTGGGAGAAGAGGCTAAAAAGGAGACTGGTGAAGAGAGAAGGATGGAGAGCAGAAACAGGTGAAGAGGCTGTTTGCTTCTCGGCCTTGGACTTGTACCAAGAACTTGAGGGACGAGAAAGGAGACACTGGAAACAGATGTGGGTGAGAGACCCTTGGGGAGATTAACACAGGCAGCTTTTACCTTGATTTTGATTTTGCTCTTTTCTTCCCAGACTTGCCTGGTCCCTTCTTTCCTAAGGGTCCCCACGAGAAGGTGTTTTAGACTTGTGGCAAACTTTTGGACCTCAGCAGTCCTGCTTGGGGACAACCCTGTTTGGCAGGAGGGGAAAGGAATTTGGGGGGCTTGATTTTAAAACTTTATTCTCCTTTTGGTCTTTGTTACACACCAACTAAAATTCCTTTCCAGGAAAAGCCTTTATGCCCTAGAGTATGTTTTTTATTGATACAGCAGAGGGAAGAGCCTATTTAGAGTGGGCGGGTTTGGGGGGGTTCTGGAGTACCCCTACCCTGTAAGAAACACAAAAGAACAAAGTATTTTTACATACATATTTATATAAATACAGACCCATCATTTCAAAAAGCCTAATTATCCTTTTGTAACAGGGTGGTCCCTAGGAAAAAGGAAGTTCCAGGTTCCCTGCTCCACCCAGAAGGAGGGTGGAGCTGAGCAGAGAAAAAGGAGAGAAGAGAAGGGAATGAAGCTGGATGGAGAACAAGACGGAGACCTAAGGAGGCCACATGGAGCAGCAAGCATGTGATGAAGAAACGGGGCTTGTTTCCTGACCCTGGACTAAGGCAGATGTGGGTGAGATACCTGTTGGGAGGTGACTATGGCAGTAGTCACCTTTATATTGATTTTGATTTTGCTCTCAGATTTGTCTGGCCGTTTCTGACCCTTTTCCATGGGTCCTGGCCAGAAGGTGCTTTAGTCTAGTGGCGGGCTTTCAGGCCTTGCTTTGGGCCAATCCCTTTTGGGTTGACTTTTGTCCACAAGGGGATGGGTAACTTTAGGTGTTTTATTTAAAAGTTATATTTTTTGTGTTCTGTATTGTATATTCACTGTATCAAAGTCCCTTTTTATTAAAGTTTTATATGTTTTGTCTTGTTGCGGCGGATGGCAGAACCCACTTAGAGCAGGCAGGATTTTGGGCTTCAGGGGTTTCCCTCTCCCCCTGTCCTATAACAGATTCTGTTCTGGAACAGATTTGGGGTGCCCTATAACACTTTCACAGAGGAAAAGACCTACCAACCTACCTTAAGAGAAAACACGTGTTTATCGCAAAACCAGCATTCTCATCTGATCCAGGGACTCCCAGAATTTATCACACAAGGCTCAATTTCCTGAGTCTAGATCCTCTGCAGGCACAGGCAAAAGTGACTGATGGCCTGCTAGAGGTCGCTGTCACAAAAGCTAGCTGCCGCATTTGTTTGCCCCATATTGTAACAGGTGGTCCCCAGGAAAAGGGTTCCAGGTTCTCTGCCCCACCCAGAAGGAGGGTGGAGCAGGAGGAAGCAAGATGGAGAGCCAGAAGACCAGAGGAAGCCCCATGGAACAGAGAGCATGTGATGAAGAAACCGTGCTTGTTTCTTGGCCCTGTGCTGGTTGAAACAGATGTGGGCGAAAGACCCCTGGGGAGGTTGACTATGGCAGCTTTTATCTTAATTTTAATTTTGCTCTTTTTCTCCCAGACTTGTCTGGCCATTTCTGACCCTTTCTATGGGTTCCTGACAGACGGTGCTTTTAGGCTTGTGGCGGGCTTTCAGGCCTTGCTTTGGGCCAATCCTTTTGGGTAGACTTTTACCCATGAGGAGACAGGTAACTTCAGGTGTCTGATTTAGAAATTATATTCTTTGTCTTCTGTATTGTATACTCATTGTATTAAAGTTCCTTTCCATTAAAACTCTTATGTCTTGTCTTGATGTGGCAGATAGCCTGCTATTTAGAGCAGGCAGGTTTGGGAATTCAGTGGTTCCCTCTCCCTGCCCTGTAACAATATGAGAAGAGTTTTGTTCTTCACCACAGAAGATGACAGAGGGATATAATAAAATCATCACTGCATTACCTGCTTCAATGTCACTGTCAATATTTAGTGTCTCATTCGAAGGAAACATGGTCCCTTTCTTGTAATGCTGCTTACAGACTTTTAAGCCAATTCTGTTGTCTTCATTTTCTCCATAACCAAGGGTCCCCAAAGATAGGTTCTTCAGACGATGATACTATGAAAAGTAATTAAAACAAAGGCACTTGTGAGCTTTTAAGCATTTTATCAAACATGATAGCATAAGGAATATGCATTTAGCTACTTTCATGGTTTATGAATTATTCCCTAGCGTGGAATGCCACAGGGTGATTTTCTCAGATTGGGCAGAAGCTCCTTGTCTCCAAAAATGCTTAACTAAAGTAAACTTGTTGTCAGACACTCCCACCCGATTCAGAGCCAGAGCCAAGTTCCTGCCAGTCTTTCTGACCTCGTGGTCTGCTATTGCCCTCTGGATCTGCGTGTCCCCACTCCCACCAGGCAGTTCCTGGACACCCTGCCTGTGGCCTTTGCTGTTCCCTCTGCCAGAAACTGCAGGTTATCTCTCTGGTAGGTTCACACACCTCCAAGAGCCGTCCTGTCCCTCCCAGTGGAAGAGGCAAACATCTACCACCAGTATCCAGGCACCACCAGGCACTCCCCATCTCCTCCCCTGCTTTATTCTATAGCAGTTACTACTTTCTGACATACCACTGAAGACCCAAGCCATCCACACCCCAGAGTTTACATTTAACAGATTTATATTAGCTGACTCTAGCCCACATGTAATTACATTAACTTGCAGATTTTATGACCTTACCATTAACATGAGGCTACTGTTTACCTATCTGAGCAAACAGGACATCATTAAAATGACTTTATTATGCCAGGAAACTTGCCTGGAAACATTAAAGTTGGAAATCACTGTACTCTTCCTTTCAGAAACACAAAAAACTCACTTAAACAGATAATTAAATTGATGACTCAGCCCCAAAACTCAGACTCTGAAACTACCTCTCACAAAACCCTCACCTTTAGTTTTTACTAACTGTGTTAAGGTAAAGATACAAGTCCTATAGATTAACCTCATTAAACTACTAAACTACTACCCATTAAACTGCCATCCTTTATCCAACTGTAATCAAGTTCTCACACTGAAAGATTCACCTTAAATCAGACTTCAAAATCTGTCTTGAACTTGCTGTCTTTACCCAGATTCTACTGAGAACTGCCAAGGTAGCATCTCCCTTAAAACTGTAGGCAATAAGCCCAGCTTCGCTTCTGGATGTGGGGTTTTTGGAGGTGTTTTCAGGGAGCCAGTATTGAAACTACATTACATTTGTTCTCAGCTCTATAAGAGCAGGGTTTTTGTCAATATCTAGTTCAGTGTCTGGCACATAGGAGCATCCAAATATTTATTGAATGGATGAATGAATTAATGAGAAAGAACAGCAATTCCTCTCCCATAAATGTTCTCTTCAAGCCTAAGCTGAAGGTATGATGTGGCTCATCATATCTCCCTAGATATAACTATATCATATCAGACTCCAAGTGTATAAGATTCTGCTAGGCATGTTAATGCTAAAACCTCAAAATTAAGAGCCTAGAACCTTATATGTGATAACTCATTTATCAAACAACCTCCCTGGTGGTGCAACAAGCTAAATAAAGCACAGCACTATGAAGCTATCCACAGTCACTGCAGCACGAGTTCAATCCCCAGCCAGGGAGATGACCCACATGGTGCACCACCCTGACACCTATGGCCTGCACCCCAGTTCTACACACACACAATATACTATATATAATGTATTGTGAAAAATTCAAAATAGGCAAAATCTATAGTCACAGAAATAGCAAACATTTTAGTGAAATGATGCAAAATTTACCTTAGAATATTTCCATATGTGTTTTTTCTTTTTTTGCTCAGACAATGAGGTCAAGTGCCAGTAGAGGTCTAAAGTATAGTTCATTCATAAAAAATATCACTTGCCTGATTAATAGCAAAAAAGATGCTCTCATAGGCATCCTCCTGTGTATATATGCTACAGCTGTAGTCATCTTCATCTATGCCAGAATATCCTCGCAAAAACAAGTGCTTAAAAGCAACTGTGTTTTCTTCTTTGAAAGCAACCACCAGCTGGTTACTTAAACCAAAACGAACAAGCTAGAAAAGAAAACCAAATAGGAACATATACATTTTTACCATCTACTATAGGAGGCAAATACTTTATTATCATCAACCCTCAGCTATAAACATCAGAAGTAAAAATCTCACATCTTTAGTTTTTACTAATAGCCACAATGACAAAATACAAGTCACAAAGAAGATTAATCTCATTAAGCTACATCAGTAATTTGAAATATCATAAAGTCAGAGGAAATTACCATACAATACCAAATAATCCTTCTGCCCTTTAATGAAACGTGAAGGGGGCGGGGGGTGAGAGGAGGAATCCAAATCAGTTAAGTGCAAAATGCATTTTTCTTTTCTATTTGAAAAATTGGTGTACTTAGTAAAGCAATAATTCATACGTTGGTGACATAATACTTAGGGATTATAGGTAACTTTAAAAAATCACAACTGGGCCACTTCCTTGGTGGTACAACGGGTTAGGACACAGCACTATAAGCTAGCTGAAGCTGCTTCAATGTGAGTTCGACCCACTTGGCGCAGCAGACCTCTCCTGTCATCCTCTGCTCCCCTCAGCAGTTTGTTTCTGTACTTCTGCCTGTTCTGTTCCCCACTCTGTCTCTGGTGAATCCTCTCACTGCCCTTGTACCTCTGGCTTGTACCCCAGTTCTGTATGCATGAATAAATAAATCTTTTTAAAAAATCACAACTTTGTTTTGCCAAGAGGCTTTTAAGAATGTTTTTGAAAAGTGACCTATGCAATGCTTACTGCAGTTAAGGATCAATAGTTGCCAAAAGAATTCAATTATATCTCTGGGAAAACTCTTACATAAGATTTATACCTGCATCCTCCCCTTCATCCATCCCACTATAGATTGGCAGCATCAAAATACTGAAAGGAATAACAGGGTATCAAGCCCATTTGTCACCAAGCATCTACCTTATTCTCCCTTACATTGTATCCTAGTGAAAGGCCAGGCACCCAAGGGCTTTCTGTAGTAATCAGAAGTGAGAGTACTCCTTTTGGGCTTCTTAGAGCCCAGTAAGAGGGTAAATTAGCAGGCACTAATGTTCACCAAAACAAAACCCAGGAAACTGCAGCACACCGCTTCAACTCAAAATTCACTGAGTGCTTTCTTTGTGCCACACTGTGTGACAGGGCAAGAGCAACGCAGTGTCATGTTGAAGTCTTATCTACTGAGTGCCAGTTACCCTAACATTTATGATTTTTAGTTTTCATTTAGTCCCCAACACCATGTGAGGGAAGTACTATAATAGGCTCCACAAAGACAGGGATTTTTTTTCTCCATTTTTTCCCATTAAAATATATTGAGGAACCAGCCTCACAGTGTCAGGGTGAAATACTGAATCAGTTGCTGAATACAATCCAACTTTTTTTTTATTATTCATATAGAACTGGGGTACAGGCCAGAGATGCAGAGGGTGAGAGGATTCACCAGAGACAGAGTGGGGAGCAGAACAGGAAGATTGACGAAGTACACTGCTGAGGGGAGCAGCGGCCGGGTCAGGAGAGGTCTGCCAGCCATGTGGATCTCCTCGAGGCAGGCGGGGATCGAACTCATGCGGAAGTGGCTTAAGCTTCTTAGTGCTGTGCTTTAACCCGCTGCACCAGGGAGGGCCCCAGTCCAACTTTTTACTTGTGCAACCTGAAGTCAAGTATCAAGCTGTTCCAAGTTGGAATAGCCAGAAAGTACCACAAAGACCCCAAGCAGGTAGATCTGACCACTTGGCTATACTATCTTTCAAACATAATACGAACTTAACTCTGATATGAGGAGCTAAGATCTACAATATTATATCTCTCCTATGCTCCTTGTTAAATTAAGAGATACAAGAAAATCTGAATGGGCAATGGATAACTTGAACAAGAATGGTATATAATCTGTAGATTTTTTTTATTTTATAACAATTATCTGTTACATTTTTAAAATTTTTTAAGTCTATTTTTACATATTTTTGTGTATTTTTCCATCTGAGTTGCAATCCCCTTGGGTTTCCTATCACCAAATCAATCTGTAGATATTTTAAGCCACCAACTTATTTAAACTCACAGCTCATAAGCCAATTTTGAAAGAGAACACAAAAAGATGTCATCTCTACCTGTAACCACCTGCATCTGGCATCAAGAACAAAAAATTTTCTCCATTTAACTGTTTATCAAACTAACTAAGTTGCAGTTATACAGCCCAGCGTCAGTAAGTGTTGAGATTTTCAGAGCACCTCTTAATAGGGAAAAGAAAACCCTGGAGAAAACTCACAAAGCCCACCTTCATGCCACCATAGAACTAAACTCCCTGCAGAGCAAGATGATGGGACTGACCAAGTGGTTTTATTTTGAAAAGGAATTGTCAGAAAAATCCATTCTAGCCCAACTAACTAAATAGTAAGATTTGCTGAGAATATAAAGCAGAAAAATAACTAAACAGTAAGTGCAGGCTAGAAAAGATTGTGAATTAAGACCTTCTTATAAAATTAACATAGAAGAAAATATTCTGTGCCAGGTATAAACAAGATATCACTCTACTTACTAATGCACAAAGAATATGGGAGATAATAGAACTGGCAAGAGAATATAGACACCTCTTTCAAGCTCATAAATTACTGCAGAATGCAGATTAGAATGTCTAAAAAAGAGTTTTCTTTGCAACAACCTTAGCAAATTACACCCATCCCATTAAAGTGAGGATGGAATGCTAAAGAGATAGAAAAAGAACAGGAGGGAAAAGTTGGATTTGAAGCAAGGGAAGGTATCTGAGAATTCTGTTCCAGAAAGATTATCAACTAAATCAGTAAAACTTATCAGAATAACCATCCAGGGAAACAAAAATTTAATCTCTCCCAATTTTAGTACGCCCACACAATGAGTAAACTGATTAATCCCCAAGAGTATTCTATTAAAAATAAAATTTGTGGGTTTTCCTGGTGGTATAGGGGTGAAAATTCTCAGCACTATGTAGTTCTCCACAGTCACTGCAGCACAAGTTCCATCCCTGGGCAGGAAGGTGACCCACATGGCACAGCAGACCTCTCCTAACCTGCCCACTGCTCCCCTAAGCAGTGTATATCAATAGATCTAACTGTTCTGCTTCCTACTCTGTCTCTGGTGGTTCCTCTCACCTGCCACACTTCTGACTATACCCAGCTTTTATATGCATAAATAAAGAAATTAAAACAAAGATGATGGTAATCATGTTTTACGCCTAGGTAAGTGAAAATTTTAATAATAACAGGTAAGCATGGACTAAGTTGGTACTATGGCGGTGTGTGGTATACTTGAAGAGGTGTGAACTTATATAAGCATTTATAAAGTTGTAAACCAACATTATCACAATAAAATAATATACCAAAGTATGTGATAATCAAACCAATTAGTGAAAATAAAAAAGATTTTAACAGTTGAAACAAAAGTTGGCTTGGCCAAGAGAAGAAATCTGGAAAGAATTTAAGAGCCTCAGCTCTACCGACTGAGCTAGCCGGGCAGCCTGGAAAGAATTTAAATTAACTAAATGACAAAAGGGAGTATTACTTCTCCCCTTCCAAGCCATACTAACAATGCACCTAACTTTATAGGTTGCCAACACTAAGATTTCAAACCAAGAATTAAAATGAAAGAAATTTTTTGCCCCTCCCTGGTGACACAGTGGGTTAAAACACAGCACTAAAAAGCTAAAGCCACTTCAGCATGAGTTTGATCCCCACCCCAGGGGGTGACCCACATGGCTCCGCAGACCTCTCCTGACCCGCCCGCTGCTCCCCTCAGCAGTGTACTTCGTCAGTCAACCTATTCTACTCCCAACTCTGTCTCTGGTGAATCCTATCACCACCCCTGCATCTCTGGCCTGTACCCCAGTTCTGTATGCATAAATAAATAAATCTTTAAAAAAGGGTGGGGGCCACATACTTCAAAGGTAGTTATATAAAAAGGTGCCTCTGGAAACTGGCTCAGTCCCACAGGCCCAGAAAGCAGATGACAACTTTAATGGCTGCTGTGACACTGGTGACACTGTGTTCCACAACAGGAACTTAAAGGGTTCCGATGTCATCTTAGAGACTATTATTAGTGCCTGGTGAGGTCATATTTAGTCAGAGCCCTGTGCTTCTTTTTTTCTTTTTAAAGATTTACTTATTTATACATACAAGAAGTTGGGTATAAGTCTGAGGTGTGGTGTGGGGTGGTGAGAGGATTCACCAGAGATAGAGTGGGAAGAGAACAGGAAGATGTGCTGAAGTACACTGCTGAAGGAAGCAGTGGGCAAGACAGCAGAGGTCTGCTGCACCTTGGTCAGCTCCCTGGCCAAGGATGGAACTTGTGCTGCAGTGGCTATGGATAGCTTCACAGTGCTGCATTTTAACCCATGGTGCCAGCATGGAGGGACACCCCTTTGCTTCAGATGAAAGGGAAACATTGTTCCCCAAATAGTAAAAAATGCAGCTTTCAAAGTATATGTAACTAAGGTGTATCTTATTTCTTAAAGATGAGAGGTTCCAAGGATATAAGTCACTTTGAATTGAGCAACCATTACCAAACTATGTGCTCATTGAGATAGAAGAGCCCACCCCTCCAAATGCAGATCTATCACTTATTTCTACTTACAAAACCCTAGAAGGACGATCTCACAATCCCTGATGGAAACAAGGTCATTTACACTGAATTTCAACCTACCATCTGCCAACAGAGCCAATATAACTTAACAGTTTTATGAAGTTGTGCATGGACTTTCAAATCACAAGTCATGTGACTGGGCCCTCCCTGGTGGGACAACGGGTTAAAGCACAGCACTAAGATAGCTGCAGCCACTTTCCCCACAAGTTCGATTCCCCCGCCCCAGAGGTGACCCACATGGTGACCCACATGGCACAGCAGACCTCTCCTGACCCGCCCACTGCTCCCCTCAGCAGTGTACTTCATTGATCTGCCTGTTCTGCTCCCCACTCTGTCTCTGGTGAATCCTCTCACTGCCCCTGCCTCTCTGGCCTATACCCCAGTTCTGTATACATAAATAAATAAATCTTAAAAAAAAAAAAGTCAAGTGACAGAATAGGTGACAAAATAGTTCATCCTGGATAAGGCACAAACCAGGCCAACTGGTAATGTGAATTACCTGTGTGGTGACCATGACAATCTTCAAAATCTGCAAGCCCAGTTTCCATGGAATCTGGTGTCTGGCCCGGTATTTTTCACAAGGGCTCATGAAGTAAAACCGCAGGTCTTGCCTTAGACATTCTTCATTCACCTCAGAATCTACGTGAGCCATTGCATTTCTGCCACAGAAGATCAACTGTTAAATACACAGAACAACCTGTCCCTCAAAAAGTGCCTAAAGAATATTTTCTGTTCACATGCCTTACCTGTTCTCACAACAAAATTTTCTGTCTAACCAATGAATTCTTTTCTCTTTAGAAATTTGAAGATTATTCAGAGCCCTCTATCACCTGCTTTTCTACACAGTTACCCATTTTGTTTAAAATGGTCTTTCTTAAAAATTATAACTTTTGGGTATTATTTGCAAGAGTCGCCAAATCCTGCATCTTAATGTATGACATTTACCTGTCGCTGGAGTATTAACAAAAATTAGACAGAATGTTTTCATGTTACTCCTGGTATAGCATCACAGAAATTTAGTATAGATTGGTGGAATGCAATTATTATGGAAATAGAAAGTCTTTGTTCTCTAAGTGTGTACTGAAAGAATTATGTCCCAATTGGATGGGAAACTAAATCAGTGATTATAAGATTTAAAAAACACAAATGCCTTTTAAAGAGTTAAAAGCTCTGCACCTAGTTAGGTGTCACTTTATATTAATTAAATTTTGCTTTAACTAATTTAAGGGGTCTGGTCTGAGAAATAGATACGTGATTTGAGGTAAACCAAGACTAATCCATGAAATGTATTTGCAGGACAATGATTGTAGCTGATGGGAGAGTTGTGGTCTGTCACTAAATAGTCCCCCAAATCCACTGGGAGTATAAGAAATATGAGTACTCTTATTTTATTCTTTATAGTAAAAATTAAACAAGTCAACAGTATTGAATCATTTATATAACATATAAAATAACAATGGTATATAATAACAACTTACAAATAAATATATATATATTGGGGATACATACTTCACTTTTACCCTTGGACATATAATCAACAAGTTTGATGATCATAGATCTAAGAACAGGCTGTTAAGTCTGGGGTTATCTCAATATCAAAGGGTGGCACCTCAGAGAGGAGAGCTAACACAGAAGAGCAGATAAAAAATAAATACTTGGCCCTCTCTGGTGGCTCAAGGGATTAGGATGCAGCACTGCAAGCAGCTGCTTCAGTGTGAATCGATCCTCAGTTCAAAGGTGATCCACATGGAGCAGAAGACCTCTCCTGATCCGTCCGCACAGTTGGCAGTCACTGCCCCATGAGTTCGATCTCCAGCCTGGGAGCTAATCCACATGGCACAGCAGAACTCTCCTGTCTTACCCACTGCTCCCCTCAGCAGTGTATTTCAATAGATCTGCCTGTTCTGCTCCCCACTCTGTCTCTCAACCCCCACACCTCTGGCCTACACCTCAGTTCTTGTATGCATAAATAAATTTTTAAAATATTTTTAGAAAATTTTGGGGAAAAAAAACTCTTTTGGAAATGAAAAATCAATGACACCATGGGTTTTATTTCAAAAAATTCAGAAGACTTTAATAATAGGCTTGCCTTGCACTTGCAATAGTTAACATCTTTCCTCTATCTGACCAACTTGCTGAATTGAATTAGCTGGGCTGAGTGATTGTGCTGGGTGAGAGGAGACAAGTGAATAGGGTGTCTGAACTTCAAATGCTGTCTAGTAGGAGAGACGGACTTGTCGATGCATGCTATACTGTGAGTGTAAGAAGGATTATGGAGGCAAAAGACTACTTCCAGAAAGAAAGGTGCAGAGAGCCAGAGGGGAAATCCATAACACATCATCATATAAGGAGGGTCAATGCTATGGAGGCATCTGAGGAGGAGCATCATGGGAGGCATTTCCAAGAAGAAAACAACATCTTAACTGTGACTTAGCATCTTCCAATGTGAACCTACAGACCTCTGAGAACAGGGGTAGAACTCAAGCAGGAAGATCTGAACAATGCCAGATTTCAATTAAATCGTTTCACTTTAGTGGGTCAATGTGGCTAACACAATTATCCTAATGATTCACAATATCTTCCACTCAATAAATTGAAAAGGGTATCTGAAATGTGATAGAACCCTGAGAATAAGGTCATGGAAACTCCTCCCCTACATAGCCTGTAGCTTCTAGTATGAGAAATACTGTATTAAAGGAAGAAGAGCTCATTTTCTCAGAAACAGATTTATGAAACAAGGGCATTAGGTCAAATAGTGAGTGAGCACCTTGTGAACCAAGCTCTGCCAAAGACATTTTCCTGCCTTCCAAGACCTTAGTCCAGTAGAAGGAAGAGATGAGAATTAACAGCAAGTGAAAGGTGCATAAAAGACCAGTTGCTTCCAATATTTTTCAAATAGTCCTCCCTGTTGGTTCCCTTGACTATATGGTCACTGAGTGCTCAAAAAATAATAATTGATGTCAATATTACTCTTAGGAATTGTTTAAAAAAGATAACTCTCAGGCAAAAAAAAAAATTAGTCAGAAGTAATAACATCAGGATTACCTATTGTATTAATTTATGTATATTACTGTATCCTTCCAGCAGCCTTCTCGTAGGCATTTACATAGCAATTACAATGCTTCTAGCACTGGATAGAAAAAAAATGATAAATCATACAGGAGCCAACAAGTGAAATATAAGATAATACTGGCCAATTGTGACCACTTGATGTTAAAATGATAGCAACACACACACACAAGCTTATATGAATAAAAGACCCCAAATATCCAAAGCTATCCTAACCAAAAAAAGAGAGATAATGGTGGTAGCATATGTCCAGGCTTTAAATTATAAGATAAAACCATCATCATTAAAGCTGCATGATACTGAAACAAAAAAAAGATGCACAGATTAATGGAACAGAATCAAGAATCCAGAAATAAACCTACACTATGTATGGGCAGTTAGTCTATGACAAAGGAGTTAAGAACATGCACTGGAAAAAGGGAAGCCTCTTTAATTAATGGCACTGGGGAAATTAGCTTCATGCAAAAGAAGGAAACTAAATCACTTGCTCACACCTTATCCCCCCCCAAAAAAACATTAAATGTATGAAAGACTTGTATGTAAAATCATAAAATACACTGAAGAAAACATAGACAAAATACCCCATAACATAAGCTTCAAAACTGTCTTTGTAGATTTGTCCCTAGCAGCAAGAAAAACAAACATATATACATATAAACACTTGAGACTACATCAAATTGAAAAACTTCTTAGAGTGAAAGAAACTCACTAAAACAAAAAGAAACCCTACTGAATGGGAGAACTAACAAGGGACTTATAACTAAGATCTACAAATAACTCATACAATTTAGCAAAAGAAACAAATAACCCAATCAAAAAAATGGGGCAGAAGAACTAAAGAGGCATTTCTCCAGATGGCCAACAGGTATATGAAAAAAGTGCTCATTATCAGTTACCATCAGGGAAATGCAAATCAAAACCACAATGACATACCACCTCACATAGCCCAGATCAAAAAGTCCAGAAATAGAATTGGCAAGGACATGGAGAAAAAAGAACCCTCTTATGGTTGCTGGGAATATCAACTGGTCCAGCCTGGAAAACGGTATGTAGATTTCTTAAAATCCTAGAAAAAACAGATCTGCCATACGATCCAGCAATTCCATGTCTCGTTATCTACATGAAGAATACGAAAACATAAGTATAAAGGGACAGGAGCACTCCTATGTTTACAATATTGGTTATTTACAATAACAAGGTTTGGATACAACCGAAGTGTCCAAAGACATATGAGTGGTTTAGGAAAATTTGATATATACGTACAATGTACATACTACTCAGCTATTAAAAAAATAGATTCGGACTTGGTAAGGGGAAACCCGTGGGGATTACAACTGAGATGGAAAAAAAATGCACAAAATGATGTAAAAATAAACTTTTATAATAAAAAAAAAGTAAAGAAAAAAAATAGATTCGTCAAGTGGCTAATAAACACAATGAACCATTAGGAGAAAGACAAATGCTGATGGTGCTACTTAAATGTGGAATATAGAGAAACAAAACAAGGGTCAGATTAAACCAAACCAATAAAAAATCTCTAGAACTATGACCATAGAATTGAGGCCACCAGAGGGGGAATGAGAAGAGGGAGGGTAAAGTGGGGAGCAGGCACATGAACAATGATGGAAAACTAGGGGTACCTTCTTGGTGGACATGGTGGGAACATACACCTGAAGGATGTGATCCTGTACTTCAAAATTATCTCAATTAGAAAAAAAAATAGCACATAAGATGTTAGCTGCAATCCTTTGGTAACTCTGTATTGGCTTAAAGAGGGCTGTGACTTATTACATTTTTTAAGGTACAAAAAGTTATATTGAGATTCTATTTTTCCAAAATGTCAACATTTCTATCCGTAAATAGACATTTAAAAAAATCTAGAAGCACATAAAGCATAATAAAATAATCTTGGTAATCTCTGTGAAGTAGTATTGAAGGTCATCTTTTTTTAAAATCTTCTTTTGAGTTGTCTATATTTTTCTGATTTTTGGTGATTAATGTGTAAATTATTCAGTACCATTATAAGTTTAATATAAGCTTTTTCAAAAATAAAGAACTTAATCACATGTATCAGTAATCTCGTATTTCCCTGCCTTCAGTTTCTCTGTGGTGGATAAGGGGATGGTGAGTGGTAGAGCTAAGTACAGACTAAAATGTAGCGTTTCTATGGCAGTGACCACATTGGCCCCAGGTTAAATGTTATAGGACAATCTGGCAACTGAAAGACTGTATACCAAACCCAACAACACCCACACTTTAAAAAAAATATACCATTTGCTACAATGAGCCAATTTTCTCATGATTTGCTAAAATTATATGAGAAGAGGAAAAAAAGCCCAATTAGCTGAGACTCTGAGGTAGCTGGGTTCTAATTAAAGGAAATAAAGAAAAAAAAGAAGTAGAAGGAAACCTTGGTGACTCTACCACAGGCCTCAAAACAAAAGTGACACAGTCATCCTAATCCTAAAGCACAAAGAGTAGAAACACCACAGTCATATTTTCAGTTTTTTCCTGGAGCTACCCATAAAAGATGACCAAGTTACAATTTTCAGGAACGTCCCTAAAAATGCCATTAAGTTCTCATAAAATC